TACGAATCCGTAGGTCTATGGTCCAGCTCTATCATTGGGAGCTTTAATTGTTCGATATGAACGGTTCTCCTCTTTCTGGGCTCATTCACGCTCTCAATAGTTAACAGGTTATGCTCCCTAATAGCAAACACTCTGAATGGACCCTCGCACCGTAGCAATTGTTTCCCTCTGTTGGTTCCCAATTTCCGGTAAACTATTGTTCCTATTTTTAGTTCCCCCATTTGGTCGCGTACCTGTACATTCTGCCTTTCCACCCGCTTCTGCTTTTCCCGCTTGATTCTCGCCGTTATCTTTCCCCATGTTTTCTCTATCTCTACCCTATTGCTGAGAATTTGATCCACTAACGGTTCGGTAAGCGTAGTTTCCCCATAATCCCGCCTTGGCCTTCGCATCCCGAATAGAACATCCATGGGTGAAAATCCCGTTACGGAGTGGATCGAGTGGTTATAGGCTGTTATCCGGCTCCAACCCTTTTCCCCCCTGATATACACGGACGTGGTCGCTTAATGTGCTGTGCAACCGTTCAATACCGCCTCTACCTTTAGGATGTCCTGGGGTGTTATAATGCCACGCAATTTCCAATCGCTTCACCTCCTCCCTAATCGCGGCATTGTCGAACTCCCTACCACCGTCCGATGTAATCCTCTCGGGGACCCCATAGAACTGCACCCAGGTTTGTAGGGCTTCCGCAACTGCATTGGCTGACTTATCCATCACTTGATGTGCCATCGCCACCTTGCTGAATATGTCGATTACCGTGACCCACTTAAACCCTTTCCAGGTGAACGTGTCAATCTGAAGGTCCTGTAGCGGCATATTCCCTGTAGGTGTCTCCTCCTGAACTCCTCTGGGGGGGGGTGTCGATCGTATTTTGTGCGCATGCATATCTCGCATTTCCCGTTGACTTCCTGGATGGACCTCTTCATGCCCCACCAGAAATACTTCCGACGCAATGCCTTCAGCGTCTCGTTAACGCCTCGGTGATTGGTTTTCCCCTGGTGATATGCTACTGTGATTGCTTGCTGCTGCTCTTCGTCTTGTACCGTCTCCACAGCATAATTGCACCGGATGAATGTCCTGTCCACACCTATTCGCTCGGACCTCCACATTCGCTTTATCTTATCCCATACCGTATTGTTTCCCACGTATAGGTAGTGCGTTTTACCCGCTTCCGAGGCGTCCCTCAGTGCCGTACAGATTTGTTCTTCGCTTACCCCGGGTTGCGACCAAATGACGCGGATCCTACTTCTCCCGTACCTTCTGAAATCGATTTTCATGATTCCGGCTGTTCGTGTCTTCCAAATCACCTGACGGTGTTTGTCGTTCACGATCTCCTCTATTTCTTCCATCTCCGCTGCCCTTTCCTCCGCTGAGCTCTCCTCTTCTGGGGACTCTCCCCTGTCCTCAATACCTGCGGTATCATTTGCCCCTTCGCCATCGGGAGTCCATTCACTCAAGAATTGACGCACGTCCCGCGATGGTCCTCCCCTGTCCTCTTCAACCGCGTTGACCATGATGGCCCTCGAGAGCCAGTCTGCCACCACGTTTTCCTTTCCCGGCTTATACATCACCTCTATGTTGTATTGGCTCAGGATCTCCTTCCATCTCGTGACCCTAGCTGAGGTTTCCTTGAGTTTTCCTACCCACTGAAGGGGTTTGTGGTCGGTATGGACTCGAAATTTTCTCCCGAATACGTATGGCCTGAAATGGTCGATAGCCCATACTATCGCGAGTAGCTCCCTCTCCAAAGCGCTGTACCTTGATTCCGCACCCGTAAGCCGACGGCTTGCGTATGCTATCGGACGTTCCCCCTCACTACTTCCCTGAGACAAAACGGCCCCCAACGAATACTCGCTCGCGTCAGTGGTTATGTTGAACAGCTTTTCAAAATCCGGAAACGCCAATACAGGCTCTGCCTGCAACCTACTCATGCATTTCCGGATATTGTTCTCCATTTCCGGTGTCACCGCAATCTTCGCACCTTTCTTGAGCAGATTGTTGATAGGGACCAAATAGGCGGTCTCCACCTTTCAAGAAGTGATTGAGCTCACCTACCTCGCCCCCGAATCGTTCCAGGTCTGCAATTGCTCTCCGTAGATCCTGCGTGGTCGCTGCCCTTATCTTCATCCACTCCAATGCATTGGCGTGCGCCTCTGCCAATGTGTCCCTAGGTAAGGGTGGGATCTCCTGTATCTGAGGTATCTGCGGTACCTGAGGGATCTGAGGTATCTGAGGAACCTGAGGGGCGATCTGAGGGATCTGCGCTATCTGAGGCATTTCCTGCGGTTGCGGAATTTCAGGTGCGTTCAACACTCCTGGTCGAATCAAGCCTTCTGTCGGCATCTCGCCTTTTCCTTAAACACCAACAAAAAGAAAATATATACTTAAAAAAAATTACTTCCCTGACGTTCTCCCGGGTTTCGGCACCAGTTAAGCGTCGTCGGATTTGAAAGATAAAAAAAAAGAAGGAAAAGGGGTAGAGATGCAACACACACGGCTT